AACTTGTATGCACTCAACATGAGCACTGTGTTGCCTGACAAACATCAAAATGGTATTCCACTTTTTACCACACTCAAATCCGTTGATCTGTAGATATTGACTTCAAATCGAATCTTCAAGAGTAGCAGGCATAGGTGGAACATACACATTCTTTTACATACCCCCACAGATAAAAATCATATTGGATAAGATCTGGTGACAAGGGACACCAGTTGATGAATAAGATCCTCTTTTTTCTAACAATTTAAACTTATAAAAAGCATTGAAAAAATTTTTTAATTTATTTTATAACTTTGAACCTTTTCTGATCCATTAATGTGTTGAATGTTTATCCATCTCTTAGCATTTGTTTTGATTAAATTTTTAAAACCTTCCTGTTTGAATAACCCTGTATATTAAACCAGCTGGATATAACAGGTTTACTAGAAAATAACAGGCCTGAGGAGGCACAGTGGGGTAATGGATAGCGGCTTTGATTTTGCAATCGGGGAGATGAGTTTGTTACATGCTAATACCCTTGGGAAAGGTACAAACTCTCTTTTTTCTAAACCAGAAGCTGTTACTCTCTCATAAAACAATGAAGACAAGGTTCTGTTAGTTTTCAGATAAATTGAATGATGTTTTGAGAATTTACCATAAATACTCTTCCAGAAACATGAAGTTAATAACAAAAAATGGGTATACATGCTGGAATTATTTATTGGAATAATACAAAGGTACAATAATGTGTGCTGTAAGTACCGTTGGTTTAAGAATGTCTGATGAAAGTAAAGATTACAGTTGCTGAGACTGCTTTCCTGAAAAATAAAATAAAGTCATAAATAAATACTGGGAAATTATTATAATTACATTATCATATTATTTTTATATTATTTATTTTTTAATATAAGTCAAGTGTGTGCAGATTTTATTTTTTTTTTTTTTTTTTTTTTTTTTTTTTTTTTAAATTCGCCAAATGACCTTTGGAATGGGAAATAATTTTGGATAAAAATTCCAGTGACACCTTAGAAATTGTTTACATTTTGGATACAAAAATAGATCAGGGCTTACAAGGAGATGTGTATTCTTTAAGAAAAGGTAATTGAAGCTTGATTGGCTGTGATGTCCTTTGTAGCTGAGTAGTCTAAAGCAGGCTGGATCAGACAGTGGTTTCTTCTACAAAAGGGGATGCATTTTTGTACCCTTTTGGAGAGTACTTTTTTTTTTTTTATGAAGCGGGCTGATTATGTGGTCGGCTAGACATAATTAACACTGTTTAACAAAAAAATCGGGGTATCTACTCAAACTTAGGTGTCCATAAAATAATATTTGAAGGCATATAAATTCATTTTCAATGGCTTATCAACTTTTTGTGAGTTATTTAAACCCCAAAATATTTTTAGATTGTAATAATATTAAAAATATAAGGTTTACTAATAAACCCATAGCTGGGGAAGGAGAAGTGGATTCATACTTTTCTCTGAGGGTATTGGCGTGTAAGTGAATATAAAAACCCCAATTCGAAGCAATTAACCATTACAGCACCCTGTATTCCCAACTGTTCACAAATCTAGGTACTGACCAGCCATAATATTGTTTAAATTTGTTGATCATATGGGATGTTACAATGTGATGTGGCTATACGTCTTTCAGGAAGTACAATATATTATAAATATTTTAGATTTAACATATACAGGGTGTTTCAAAAAAATTGATATCCTTTGAGATGTAAATATCACAGAAAGTACATGATTAAGGCAAATGAAATTAAAAAGTATTAATGTTGAAGATCATAAGATTTATTCTTCCAAATCTGAATGAGAAATTCAAAAGCATGTGGATTATGTGAATGATTTCACAAATGTTCAATATCACCGCCTGAGAGACTGGCATCGTCAAGTCGGTAATCCAGCTCCTGCCAAACGCTGAAGCATATCTTGGGTAACAATCTCCAGTGCTGTATTGATTCTCTGCTTGAGTCCTATGTTTGCAGAAAGAGGGGGAACATACACCATTCCCTTCACGTAGCCCCAGAGGAAAAAGTCATAAGGTGTTAAATCAGGTGAGCAGGCGGCCATTTCAGCAACACACTGTCTTTAACACTAGCACGCCCGATCCATAAAGACATAAACATAAAACAAACATTAAACATAAAGATGCTATTAAAATTTGAAGGAGATCTAACAAAGTTATTAGATTGCGAAATGATGTCAAATTTCTTGAAATACCCTGTATTTCATATATAAATATTTTATATATTGTGTGCATATAAAATATACATTTTATAAATATTTCATATATATATATATAAGTTACATTATTCAGGCTATTGTCCTCATCTTTGTTTCCATATTTGTTACGTTTTGGCCGTTGTAAACTCCTGCCTTCTTCAGGTGGTTGGAATGTTGAACTGAAACCTTTATTTTGCTCACTGCAGTAGACTGTTCTCAAATGACACAGTAGATAAAGGCATTAGTTAGATCCAGTGACAGGACCCAAAGAGTGTGAATTCAATACCTGGTTAAGGCAATGGAGAACTTGGAGAGAGAAAATTAACAGGAGAGAACTGATAACTGACATCCATTAGACATGACATGTGGAACTTGAACAGTCTACTCCTGTGAGCGAAGTAAAGGGTTCTGTTTGACATTTCAACAACCTGGAGAAGGCCAGAGCGTACAACAGCCAAAACGTTGTGATAAATATGGTAACAAAGATGAGGACAATCGTCTGAACAATGTAAATAATGTACATAATACCTCATCTAAGAAATATAGACAGATATATTCATATATTGTCCATGCATATATATATATATATATTCATATATTGTATGAGTGTATATATATATATAGTGCACATATATATATCTTACTTAAATATATTTTATGTATATATATATTTATATATATATCTTATATATATTTACATTTTATATATAATTATATATTTTATATATATATTTTATGCATATATTTATATTATATATATATATAAATATATATATTTTATGCATATATTTATATTATATATATATATAAATATATATATTTTATATATATTTTATGCATATATTTATATATATATATATATATATAAATATATATATTTTATATATATATTTTATGCATATATATATATATATATATATATATATATATTTTATATATATATTTTATGCATATATTTATATTATATATATATATATATATATATATATTTCTATCATGCAATATATCTTATGTATATATTTTTTATTATATATATATCTTATACATATATGTTAGAGATATTGACCTTGCAACCATGGCCTTGTGAGGCAGCAATCATTGCTTTTTCCCAAAAATCTTATTTATAATTGTATGTTCAGTAGAGGAGGGGTGGACCCCCTCAAGAAAATCGCTTTTTGTATAATTTCGCCTATCCAGGCTCATTATTGGTCAGTAGAAATCTTCTTGAAAGCTGCCATTACTTCTGATTTCTTGATAAGTAACTTATCTCAATCAGCATCTTTTTTTTCTTACTTCCGGTGAAGTGCTTGTTTAGCAATTTTAGGAAATTTTTACCAATATAGGATTTCAACTGAGAGTTGAAGGCAGCTGGTGTTGTGGTAAGTTAACCAAATTTTTTTTCCTTTTATCTTTCTTTTTTGGCTACCTGCTGTTAATGCAGTTGCAGCTTTAAATTCCAACCTGGTTTTATGCCCTTCTTCCAGCAGGGCTCTGTTGTAATTTTTCTTATTTTTCTTCAAAACCTGCTGAACTTGAGGAATTTCTTGAGAGTCTACACTCAGTGCCATTTGGTATTTGCTTAATAACTGCTTTGTGGTGGTTGGATCTGCTATTAATGTAAAATAAATTGCTGTTTAGGTTTTTGATCTGCTATTAATGTAAAGTAACTTGTTGTTTGGGCTTTGGATCTGCTATAAATATTAAAGTAACTTGCTGTTTGGGTTTTGTTTACCAGATCCATTTTGATGTCCACATATTGGACCACTTTCAAATACATCTCCAGGTCTTTAAAGAGTTTAACCAGTTTTTTCCTTATGTTATAATTTTCTCTACTCCTGTTTAATTCTACCATTAGTCCATCATCCCTGTATAGGCCATGGTTGTCAATGTGCACAATCTTTTGCCATTAAATAGAAGCCCATTAATTATGACACTTCTGCTCTATCATGTGATCCTTGAGGGGTGTCAAATTCACCATCATTTGTACTCTTGCACCATGCGTTATTACCGTGGAAGAGTATGGATCTGCAGGAGTGCTTAATTATATCTACCTGTTCACTCTTCAGGCTTACAAATTCTTTTGCATACTCTATTGCTTTGCCAAGTCCTTGCTCTGTTATAGAAGGATAAAACTTTTTAATATTGTATATTATGAATATATATTTCTTCTTATCCTTGATTTTACTAAACCATTTTATGCAGTCAACTGGGCTTTTTCATTGATTTACCTGGGTGGCAAGAGTAAGTACACTAGGGCAGGAGTAAAGAGACTTCAGGATGTTAGCTGGTTACACACAATGTCTCTTAGAGTGTTTGATGTAATATCTTTGCCTTGGGTATCTAAATAATTGTAGAAACCAAACAAAAGTAATTATTTGTGATTTATCTAAAGACTAAAGCTAGAGAAGAAACTCAACTGAAAATTTTGTCCACATGAGAAATGTTCTATAAAAAATAATTCCAAATAGAGAGTCTAGGATGAGGATTATTTTTTATGGAAAAAAAAAATCCACCCAGGACATCTTTGTTCTAACCATCCCTTTTATTAAATATTCAAGAAATTTCTTCCTAGCATTTAATTTATGCTGCAAGCATTCTAGGACACAGTGTTTCATTATTGAAAATTATTAAAGAAAAAAAATTCCAATCACCCCTTTTATTCCAATCAACCTGTCTATTTGAAACTCAAATATATCCCTAGCTGTCTTTCCAAGTTGAACTTGAATGTGAAAAATGTAAGTTACCACTTCTATCAAAAGTATTCAATGAAGACCTTGGATTAGATGAGATTTAGTTTCCTTCCTGTAAAGGTCTTCGCTCTGGAAAAGAAAAAAATAATAATAAAATTATTAATTGTATTATACAAGGATGGATTAATGTCAATAGCTTGATATGTAGTTATTAGTTGAATTTTGATCTGAAATTTTCACTGTATAATATTACATCTAGAGGAAAAGTATCGATTTAAGTGCTCTGACAAGGAAGAAGAAAAGCGTAAAGCTTAGTAAGTACTCATAGAAAATAAGTTTGTTCTTATTGAGTAGGGACCTCAATACTATGGCCTTGTGCCATACTAAGCTAAGCTTATTAAATGCTTCTTCTTAATCAATATTTGATTAGCCAAGAAAGTATGATTGATTGATCCATAAAGAAAATCAATCTAGGAGAAAGGAAAATTCTGAATTCACAACTGATGAGAAGGCAACAGGAAACAACTCCATTATATTTCTCAAGAAGTCATGGCCATTCACAGATATTTAAGAAAAAGGAATCTGTGAAGAACCACGAAGACCTACGCCCTAAAAGGAAATAATATTGAAAAATATGAAAAATAATATTGAAAATATGAGCTGAAATAATAGATACATAATTTACAACAGTAATAAATCAGTGTCATTTGGAAGCAGATTATATTTGTTTGCTTCTTTGCACAAAACAGAAATTATTTGAGAGGCAATTTACAATTATATGATTGATTCAAAAGTATGAATATATTACAAATTACTTTTTTTTTTCTGTTGTATTTTATCAAATTAATTGTCTTGAAATATTATTTATCTTATTCTCTGATCCAATCTCAATCTGCTAGCAAATATAATACAGGGAATTCTGTTGTGGACAAGTCAGCCAATACATTAGCTATGTTCTGATCAAATCTCCACCTACAAGCTCCAAAGAAAGTGGGTCTTCTGTGTTGTGCTAGACAATTATTCTCAGCTGAATTTGTCTTGCAACTTTATAAGTCTACCATTCATCTGTGGACTGAATATTGATGCCACATCTGGTCTGGTTCTTGTATCTTGAGATTCTGGGCAAAATCCAAAGAAGAATCTGCAATATTATTGGTCCTGAAATGGCATCTCAGCTTCAATCTCTTTCCTGCTGCCATAATGTAGATTCTCTGTGCCTTTTCTACAAATATTTTGATGGTAATTGTTCTGATGAACTTTCTTCTTTGGTGCTTCAACTTTATCAATTTAAGTGTAGTAGTAGATTGGCAGATAGGTCTCATTTTACAGTTGAAATTGCTAAATGTAACCATAAGTTCTATTCTAATAATTTCTTGTCATGCCCTTGTCATCTATTGAATTCTGTTCCAGCTTCTTGCTTTCAAGTCAAAAAATTTAAAAAGCTTTTGTGTTTTAGTGACTTTATTGTCTTGCTTGGGGTGAAATGATTAAAAACAAAAACATTTTTAGCCATATGATAGAAGAAAACAAGTGACATATATAGTTCCTGTTTAAATATAGTTTATGTGATACAAAAACCAGAATAAGTTATTGTTCCTGTTAACTCTTGATTTATTTTCTTGGCCATGTTTGGGGAATTAGAATTTTGATGAACCAAAATAATTCTGGGAAATCTTACCAATGCAATTGACATTCTGCACATAATCACAACGTTTCAAAATTGGATTGAACAGTAAACTGGCAGGACATGTTTCTAAAAATGCTTTTCCATTGGAACACAAGATGAATCTGTTACATTTGGAAGGATGAATATAAGCTCCATCTTGTACACCTGCACAATAGTCTGGGGAAAAATAAAGCAGATTTTGAAATTTTTTATACATTTATAATAATAAACAACGTAAGATATGCAGATAATACCAATGGAAGACAATTGTGGGAACTTTCTAGACAAGATAGATCTTTTTTTCCACTGTCCATTCCTAATTGTTGTCATACCCTGTTGGAACTCCAATTCTTTAACCTAAACTTTAGTGCTCACTTTGACAGCTTATATCATAAAAACAGACTGTGTACCCACTTCCAGAATATTGTCCAGAAATGGTCAGCCTGCAATAAGCTGTTGACAGTATAGAAATCAAAACTCAACCACAAGATTAAGATACACATCTTCATGGCTAAAGTCGTCAGCCCTCCTGTATGAAAGCAAGACATTGTCCACTGACAAAATCTTCTCATTGGATGCTACCCTAGAATATTATGAATGGCACTTAATATTTACCAGAGCTCCAAACTAACAAAAGAACAACTCTATGGAAAGCTAATCAAAGTCTTGAAGAAGATAGCATTCAGAAGTATGAAGCTTGACAGAAATTGCTTATACAATCCAGAAGAAATTGTATCAAAACTCGTTTTATGGCAACAATCTAAAGGATGAGAGAATGAAGCAGAAATCTGTCACATTCCTAGATGAACTTATGCAATATACTGGAATTGAAAATCAGGATAAACTCAAAACAGCTAAGACAATTGGAGATAATGTGCTGAGATGTTGCAAGCTGAGACTCAGCCAAACTAACTAACTTTTCTTTCTTCATATTCAGGATGAAAGAACAGGCATCAGCAAGCCATGACAATCCCAGATACATACACTTATAAAAAATACTAGCATTGAAAATCTGGAATACCTTAAAACGGCCATGATGGAGTGGGACAATTGGAGACACTGAGATGTTGCGAGCAGAGGCTTGGCCAAAATAACTTTTCTTTCTTCTTATTTATGTAGACCTACAGGCTGAAAGGACATCATGCAGTGACATTTCCAGATGCACTTATGCAAAATAGTGGCATTGAAAATCTGGATGAATTCAAAACAGCTATGATGGATTGGGACAAATGGAAAGAACATACTGAGATATTGTGAGCAGAGACTTGACTAAACTAACTAAATATAAGTACATCTTGAATTTGAGTAATTTTTCTTTCATTTCATTTGTTGAAAACTCATTTTTATTTCCAATTCATGGTACTTACTTGTCAGTTTTCAAATGTAAAAATAATGGGAGTTTAAATAAAAGGTTATAAAAATAAGATGAAAGACAAGCTAGTCAAAGAAGTAATGAGTGCTTTATCTAAAAACCTTGAACAACTTATAACTTACCGTTATTATTAAAACTAGGTGTAAAGAAGCCAAAAATATCGAAATAAATTAGTCACAAAATTTTTAATAATTACAGAGCTTCATCTAAAAGCATTGGACAACATTAGACTATTATGCAACAACTATGAACAGGTGGTTGGCATCTAAACAAGCTCCCCATTAGCTTTTTTCATTGGTGTGGAGGGTGGTATGTTAGCCCACAGGATGAAAAACAAGACCTGTCAAAATGAGCTTCTTATAGGAACTATTGACTAACATATATCTATATATATATTATTACTTAAATGTTATTTTTTAGTGGATATCCATATTTGAATAGATGTTCTGTTTATTTATTAAACAGTATACTTATTAACTTTATTAAACAGTATATTATTTATTTTCTGGCAGCATATTTTTCTAATAAGATTTCTTGAATATTCAGGTTGGTAGATGTAAATAAATAAATATACTGTTTAATAAATAAGCAAGCGTCTACTCAGATACTGGGTATCCACTAAAAATTAATATTTAAGTAATAAAATATATTAGATTAATAAATGAAAAATCCACTCCTATATATATATATATATATATATATATATATATATATATAATCATTGTTCAAAAATTATAACATATTTATGTTATAAAATCACTACAAAAATAGCCATTTTGTTTCAACACTTTTGATGTCTTATCAAATGATGGTGTTGAATGTTACATATTTTTGTAGTGACTTTATAACATAAATATGTTATAATTTTTGAACAATGATTATATATATATATATATATATATATATATTCAGTTGTATGGAGTATTAGTATTAGTCTGTAACCCTGGGTTTCATACTTTTGCAATCATCCGACAAACAGGTTTATTTGTTTATATGTTTGGATCTTTTATGCTTATGTTTATATGTTTGGATCTTTTATGCTTATTTGTGTTTGATTGTTTGTGTATGATGGAGGGGGAATATAAACTAATATCTATACAACTGAATATGTTAGCTCTCTCACAGATATTCAGCACTTTCCACTAAGTACCACGCGCATATATATATATATATATATATATTTATTCGAACACAGTGGCGTTCCATATCACGTGACATCCGCATCTCGCAATGGACGCTACTTGTAAACAAACCTCTAAAAACATCTATTTCTGAAGAAAGATCGATGTCGATCTGAAATATCAAAACTACATATAAAAAAATATAAATAAATACTTTCATAAAAAAACATTATTATTTTTTAATTTGCAACTTTTTAGTTGTTATATATATATATATATATACAGGGTATCCCTTCAAAAATGTATTCATTCTTAAATGACAATAAATGCAGTGTTTATTGACTTGCAAACAATATTAATGTTTGAAACTAAGAAATATTAATGTTTATTGACTTACAAAGAAGATTAACAGTTTAAATTAAATATTAAATGAAATTAAATGCATGTTTATGCAAGTTCCACTTGAGAAGCTTCTTCCCATGAACTTTTTAGAACTGACTACCAAGAGAATGCTTCTCCAATCACTACAATCTTATTCAAGTCTAGGGTCAACTATTATCTTCCTACATATCCCCATAAATTGTGCTTTTTTACTCTGTAACCCTCTACCTCAAGAGGCTCTTGGGCCTTGTATAGCACAAACATCATTGTAAAAGAAAAAATCTTCAATTTTTCATCAGCCAAGGGATTGTAAATTAAGATCTTCATTGGTAGGTGGTCAATATTTTGCCAATCAATAATCTTACTTATTATAAAACCCTGGTTGTGTGTGTGTGTGTGTGTCTGTACATTTATATATTGGATTGGATTTCCTACATTTTTCAACCGATTTCAACAAAACTTCACAGGGCTGCATAAAATTACCTTGCGGTGGTTCTGACAGCGCCCAAAATTGGAAAAACACAATTGTGTTTGCACAAAATCAATTTGAAAACACGATAAAACATGATTCTGTCACCAGAATGAAAGGGGGACAACTCATATCGAGTTATACTTATTATAAAACCCAAGTTATTTGTGTGTGTGTGTGTGTGTGTGTTCATTTATATATGGGATCGGATTTCCTACATTTTTCAACCGATTTCAACAAAACTTCACTTTTTTTTTGCAGGTAGTGTTTTTTATTGTCTTGCACACTTTTTTCTTTATTTTTACATTCAGAATGCTTTAAAAATTCCATTTACAAGACAATTGTTTATTATAAAATTCTATTCAATCGATAGACTCATAACGATTGAAAACAAGGTTTTTGTTTGAGTTTGGGTTTGACTACTTCGTAAAAAAAATGAAAAAAACAAAAAAAAAAAAAAACTAATTAAGACATGTATGTCCGTCAACCTTAAACAATAATCTTTGTCAATTTTATTTTTTAGTCTTTATGATGGTTGATACTTGATCTATCTCTTACTGTTACATCCCCGAGCAATGCCAGCCTTAACTGCTAGTTATTAATAATAGGTTTTATTAAAAGGTAACCCAATCATAAAGCATGTTCAATGTATATTGATGAATATCTGTAAATACCTAAGCCATTTGTCACATGAGTTGTTGTACTGCCTGAGCCAACTGATGAGTCCTGGAAACTTGATGAATGCTTTTCATAGACTGAAGACTCCTTTCTGTTTATATCATCCACTGAAAAAAAAAAAGAAAATTATTTAAAAATTAGAATTATATGAAACCAAAGTTTGTAGGTTGTATATGTCTATCCCAATAAGAAAAATATAAGTTTGGTCAATAAATTTTGACAGTTTTTTTTATAACTACAATAGGACTAAAAGTGTTTCATATTGATGAAGAATGAATTGAAAATAAAAATAATTCACAAAATAAATAGTTGTTTCTATACACAGTTGAAGTGAAGCTTGTTAAAATTACCTCTGCAAGTGACTGCACCAACTCGACACCGACGTGAAATGCAGTCAAACTTTTCCCCCTTTGGACAATGCAGTAAGGTCATCATTTGTTTCTCACACTTTATATACATATTGCAGTTTGTTGGGTGAATGTAAAAACCATCAGCAGCATCCACGCAGATATCTAAAATAAGAAAAACAATTAAAGCATAACAGTCTCTCAATTTCTTAAATGAACCATGAGCAACTATTATTCATTTTTGACTTGTATTTCTTTCATCTTATTTCTATTACTTTACACTTAATAGTAATAGACGTAATAGTCTTAAGTTGTCTGAATTTCTTAGATGAAGCATTGGCAATTATTATTCATTTTTGACTCGTATTTCTTTCACCTTATTTCTATTGCTTTACACTTAATAGTAATAGACGTAATAGTCTTAAGTTGACTGAATTTCTTAGATGAAGCATTGGCAATTATTATTCATTTTTGACTAGTATTTCATTCATCTTATTTCTATTGCTTTACACTTAATAGTAATAGACGTAATAGTCTTAACTTGACTGAATTTCTTAGATGAAGCATTGGCAATTATTATTCATTTTTGACTAGTATTTCATTCATCTTATTTCTATTGCTTTACACTTAATAGTAATAGACGTAATAGTCTTAAGTTGTCTGAATTTCTTAGATGAAGCATTGGCAATTATTATTCATTTTTGACTCGTATTTCTTTCATCTTATTTCTATTGCTTTACACTTAATAGTAATAGACGTAATAGTCTTAAGTTGACTGAATTTCTTAGATGAAGCATTGGCAATTATTATTCATTTTTGACTAGTATTTCATTCATCTTATTTCTATTGCTTTACACTTAATAGTAATAGACGTAATAGTCTTAAGTTGACTGAATTTCTTAGATGAAGCATTGGCAATTATTATTCATTTTTGACTAGTATTTCTTTCATCTTATTTCTATTTGCTTTACAATTAATAGTAATAGACGTAATAGTCTTAAGTTGTCTGAAATTCTTAGATGAAGCATTGGCAATTATTATTCATTTTTGACTAGTATTTCATTCATCTTATTTCTTTTGCTTTACATAATAGTAATAGACGTAATAGTCTTAAGTTGTCTGAATTTCTTAGATGAAGCATTGGCAATTATTATTCATATTTGACTCGTATTTCTTTCATCTTATTTCTATTGCTTTACACTTAATAGTAATAGACGTAATAGTCTTAAGTTGACTGAATTTCTTAGATGAAGCATTGGCAATTATTATTCATTTTGACTCGTATTTCTTTCATCTTATTTCTATTGCTTTACACTTAATAGTAATAGACGTAATAGTCTTAAGTTGACTGAATTTCTTAGATGAAGCATTGGCAATTATTATTCATTTTTGACTAGTATTTCTTTCATCTTATTTCTATTGCTTTACACTTAATATTAATTGACGTAATAGTCTTAAGTTGTCTGAATTTCTTAGATGAAGCATTGGCAATTATTATTCATTTTGACTAGTATTTCTTTCATCTTATTTCTATTGCTTTACTTAATAGTAATAGTAACTTAAGTTGTCTGAAATTCTTAGATGAAGCATTCTTATTCATTTTTGACTAGTATTTCATTCATCTTATTTCTATTCTTTACACTTAATAGTAATAGACGTAATAGTCTTAGTTGATGATTTCTTAGATGAAGCATTGGCAATTATTATTCATTTTTGACTCGTATTTCTTTCATCTTATTTCTATTGCTTTACACTTAATAGTAATAGACGTAATAGTCTTAAGTTGACTGAATTTCTTAGATGAAGCATTGGCAATTATTATTCATTTTTGACTCGTATTTCTTTCATCTTATTTCTATTGCTTTACACTTAATAGTAATAGACGTAATAGTCTTAAGTTGACTGAATTTCTTAGATGAAGCATTGGCAATTATTATTCATTTTTGACTAGTATTTCATTCATCTTATTTCTATTGCTTTACACTTAATAGTAATAGATGTAATAGTCTTAAGTTGACTGAATTTCTTAGATGAAGCATTGGCAATTATTATTCATTTTTGACTAGTATTTCTTTCATCTTATTTCTATTGCTTTACACTTAATAGTAATAGACGTAATAGTCTTAAGTTGTCTGAATATCTAAGATGAAGCAGATGAAATAGAACCATTATTACATATTTGACTCATATTTCTTTTATTTTATTTCTATTGCTTTACACTTAATAGTAATAGACGTAATAGTTGTCTGAATGTCTTTCATGAAGCATTGGTAATTATTTATTTTTGATTTGATATAAATATAACACAATGTTGTCAAAATATAAATGGGAACCAAAAATGAAAGTGAAAACACCATTATTAGAATGGCATATAATAAAAGAGATAAAGAGAAAATATAAATGGGAACCAAAAATGAAAGTGAAAACACCATTATTAGAATGGCATATAATAAAAGAGATAAAGAGAAAATATAAATGGGAACCAAAAATGAAAGTGAAAACACCATTATTAGAATGGCATATAATAAAAGAGATAAAAGAAAATATAAATGGGAACCAAAATGAAAGTGAAAAACACCATTATTAGAATGGCATATAATAAAAGAGATAAAAGAGAAAATATAAATGGGAACCAAAATGAAAGTGAAAACACCATTATTAGAATGGCATATAATAAAAGAGATAAAGAGAAAATATAAATGGGAACCAAAAATGAAAGTGAAAACACCATTATTAGAATGGCATATAATAAAAGAGATAAAGAGAAAATATAAATGGGAACCAAAAATGAAAGTGAAAACACCATTATTAGAATGGCATATAATAAAAGAGATAAAGAGAAAATATAAATGGGAACCAAAATGAAAGTGAAAACACCATTATTAGAATGGCATATAATAAAAAGAGAAAAAGAAAATATAAATGGGAACAAAAATGAAAGTGAAAACACCATTATTAGAATGGCATATAATAAAAGAGATAAAAAAGAAAATATAAATGGGAACCAAAAATGAAAGTGAAAACACCATTATTAGAATGGCATATAATAAAAGAGATAAAGAGAAAATATAAATGGGAACCAAAAATGAAAGTGAAAACACCATTATTAGAATGGCATATAATAAAAGAGATAAAGAGAAACAGAGGCTGTAATTGCAGGTACAGAGAAGAAAGTAAAAATCAGAGAATTTAAGAATTTGAATGGTTTAACTAACAAAAGAATAAGATTATTTTGAATTGTTGCCATGCTGATGCATATTTTTAATAAATATTGAAACAGAATAATAAAATAAAATATGAACAGAATGATAGATTTTGGTAGCATTCACAATAAAGAAGCACTCATCATTTTGAAAAGTTGTTAACCATGCAACAGGCTGTTGATGGGTAGTGAAATAAATTTAATATTTTTAAGAAGCTCTTTTAAAAGTATTTAAAATATAGCACTCTTATATACACAAGAAAAGTAATAGAAAAATTATATATAAAACAATATCAAAGATTCTGTTTTGCCCCAAAAAGTTAACCTCTATTTTTGGAGCATAATGTTTTTAAGTTAAGCAGTATTTGTAATTAAAGAGCTCAATAACATTCTGGAGGTGATTTTGTTTGCAAAGCAAAAATTTTATCCTGCCACTGCAAGTGACTCATATAAATGAATGATAGCATGTTTGAATTTTGCAATTGTGTTGTCATATCCTTCTATGGCAACAGAAAATGACCATGACTGAAATTAAGTAGTGGAGTAGAGGATCACTAAAAACAATGCAGTGGAAAGGAAAGTAGTAAATAATGCAGTGTGTTAAAGGTTAAGAGATAGAGCATTAATAGCAACAAATAGAATTAGAAGTGAACATTTAATCTTATTTGTTGTTATGGAAACAATAAATCATAATTATATGTAATTATCATTGGTGTACAGTTGTGGCAGAAAAAAAAACAAAAAAAAACTTACCTATGGAATTGGTACTTTGCATCTGGTGGGTGGATACGGAAGAATCCACCCAACTAGTTCCAGCTGAGTTTCTTGAGGACAGTTTTTGTCCATTTTGACCAAGAATTAATGAGTAGAATACCCTTATCAAATTGTCATTTAAATTCTTTTCTTTTCCAATTAGTTGCATTTCAGGCTTTATTTGTCCATTCTGTGGAACAGATTGGTGAGTGAGGACAATAAAAGATTGTAAACCCTTCATTAAATTTTCTATCCAAAGTTGTCTTTGGATGGGATCTTTTGGTACATAACTTCTGATGCTTTCTGGGAAATCAGACAACACAAGAGAAGCTGATTTAGGAGAGTTTAGAAATTTCTGGATGGTGGACATCAATACTTGTAAATCATATGTGTTAGCCTTACTTTGATGGGAGGCTTTAGTGTTATTATATAACAGTTTGTGAAGCCATTGTTGAATTTCTAAGTTCCTTTTCTGTTCATTTACATTGGGTGACAATTGAGCATTTTTTATCAATAATCTCCAAGGCTGGCTTTTTTCTGTCATATTCTTACTCTTGTGTATTAGGTTTCCATTTTGTTGAATTTTTGTTAATTCTCTAATCCAATAATCTGTTTGATTATCCATACTTACTGAACTGTGCTGAGTATTTCCTCTTTGTAGATTCCTCATTAATCTATACATCAAATCTGTAGGTTCACTTAGAGTATAATTCCAGGATTTATTTACCAAAATTTCATTCTGCATTTGCTTTAGTAATGTATATATCGATGGATGGCTTCCATTATGTATGTATTTTTCATTATGAAGAAGATTTTCCCATTGGAAATCTTTCATTAATCTATAAATCCATGATAGAGTTCTATTATCCAGATCTTTTCTTCCAGAATTTCCACTTTCTGGCTGGAAATATCTAAAGATTTCCAGCCATGATTGGGTATCATTTACAGTAGGATTTATTCCAGGAGCAGGAACAATATGTTGTTGTTTTTTTGTCAAAGTATATAGCCATGGTGCTGTTCTCGATGCTGTTATAGAGTTTCCTCCATTTCCATCTCTTTGGAGATAATTTCTTATATACTTTATCCAAGATGCCTGAGTTCCTGGTTTCCCCATTCCTGTGATTAATGGTCTTGTAGGTTTAATGGAAGGATCTATGACAGGAACAGGCCTGTGTGTTGGTGTAACAAAAGTGTTTACTCCTGGTATATAAGCCTTGGAATGTTCCTTGACTGATTTTATCCCAAATATTTGTTCAGGTGAAAGGGAGAGGGTGGAGCTTCTCCCTGTGACAAAAATATAGAATAAAATATAATTATTAATTATTTTCAAATAAAAAATAACTTTCCGACACATAAATCAGCTGTTTATTATTTTCTTATAAAGTGAGAAAATGTTTTGTACATTTAACTAATAAAGCAGTAGGTTGGAAAATAGTGTAAAATTACTAGAAAAAGAGTAAAATTTCTGTGGGTAATGAAGGGATGTAATAATTAGCATAGCTAAAATCTGGGTTGTCATGAATAAAATGGATGTAATCTGGAAATCTGTTCTACCAGAAAACCTCAAACAGAGATACTTTTGTGCCACTATAGAGTTGGTTTTAATGTATGGTGCCACTGCTTGGACATTAACTAAAACCTCTGAGTATAAGCTTACATTACATTCACTTACATGCTAATACCCTTGGGAAAGGTATGAATCCTCTTCTTCCTCCAGCTATGGGTAAATAGCAGGACAGACTGGGTTCTATAGCCTTAGATGGCAACTGGTCTAGAAGAAGGAAAACTCTGAATTCAAAACCTGCAGAGGGTTGTTTGGGGACCTTGTGGCACGTAGTGCACCAGGCTTCTGTAATCGGCCCTTCAGAAAGTGTGGATGATCCTGCGCGAAACCTTCACCACTATAATCAAATCTCATGTGCTATACATGCAGGTTGGGGACCGCTTGTGAATTCCAAATTCCCATGAAACTCCAAATGGAGCCGGCTCAACCCACCTCAGGTGAATGCCGTTACAGGTACAGGTACAGTATAAGCTTGATGAAACCTACACTCGGATGCTGAGAGCTATACTTAACATATCTTGGAGACAATGTTCAATTAAATCACAGCTTTATGGACCCATCCCTGGTATTTCTATAATCATACAGGAATGCAGAATGTGCTTTGCAGGACACTGAATGCAAAAACAAGAACTTGTGAGTGATCTACTGCTCCGGACACCTAGCCATGTTGCAAGACGGGTTGGTTGCCCAGCAATCACCTACATTAAATTGCTATGTTATGACACAGAATGCCACCCAATTTAAGGAAATTGTGTACCAATTCTTGTACAAAAATTACATAACCTGGATACTAGACAAAATTTAGATGATACGTCAAATGTCATTCCTCTTTTTGAATCTGTTCTTTTATTGTCTTTTCTCTTTGGTTTCATTTTCTTAGTTTCTTTCACTCTCAGTAACACCCTTCATCTTTGTGACTTTATTGCCTTGTTTGGGGAGAAATAATTAAAAACAAAATTCCTAGTCGCTTATAAAAATAAAATGTGTAACTATGTTGTGTCAGAAACCTACCACCCCTCTTGAAGATGAACTTGTCTGCGAACAAAGACTTTAAATAGTGGCATGTCAAGATAGACAGAGAAGTTCTTAGCTGAGCTAGTTATTGACTACTCAGGCGATTTCTGTACCTTTTTACCAACCTATTAAAACCCTTTTTATTGTTACGTGTTATTTGGCATTTGTCTCTACTAACCCCCGATTCAACATCATAACAAACTATATATTAGTTTTCGGCAACTTATGTATTTCACTGACTTTTAAGTCAACCAAATTAGTTTATCATCTCTTCTATCCATTAGTATGTCATTCATAGTGCATTTCCAACTTTAACTTCTCTCTGGTCTTTTGAACAGGAGTAGAGTTGTATCCGTTGTCTCTTGTTTAGATTGGGTTTCCAGTTCCTTCTGAAGGCTGCTTCAGCTCTCTACTCCTAACATCTGTGCCTGAACTCTGAAATTTTATTCACTACTTATTTATTTTATTTTACTTTTTTCTCTCCTCAATCAATAGGAGTAGATAGGTTTGCCTATCGCCTGGTTCATACTTCTCCCTCATCTTTCAAACAGGAGTAGAGTTTTATTCCTTGTTTCTTATTTAGGGTTGGATTTCTGATATTGCTATAAGGACAATGACAAAATGTATTTGCTTAACACTAATCAGCTTTAAAAGGATTTTAAGCATTTATTTATTTTTTTCTGGTACTATGGAAAAGAAGTATCTGATTAAATCTAGATATGAAATTAGAGAAAACTAAACATTAAAGAATGTAATTAATAATCTTGTTCTATTTCAAACTATTGTTCTCATCTTGGTTGATATAAATGTTATTATAAATTATGCTTATATCTTTCTTTGAACCTGGTAAAATATTTATCACTTCATTTGTGTATAATGGCTTTGGTCTGAATATATGGAATCAAATTTTTGGATTCTAATACAATAAAATATTTATCCATTCATTTGTGTGTAATAATATCACCATAGGATCGTGAGTCTTTGACTTCATAATTAATTATTATTTGCTCTGTTTTTTGACATAGAGCTCTCTTTGGATTTATATTCTCTTTGGAATTATTCATATGGATTACCAAATATTATCATTGTTTATATATATATATATATATATATATATATATATATATATATATATACACACAAAAGTTAACAGCAGAAAATGTAAGTTTGTGAAGACATAAATACATTTTGAAAAGGTATATATGCATCAAGAGCAAACAATGTAAATATATCTATATATATATATCACTTGAAGATGTTCTTATAAATCTTGACAGAACTTACATTGTCTGCTATATATATATATATATATATATATGTGTGTGTGTGTGTGTGTGTCAACAACAGGCAATGTAAGTTCTGTAAAGATGTGTAAGTACATCTTGAAAGGTACATATATATCAGCAGGTAATATAAGTTTTGTATAAATACATCAATAGAAGTGTTAAATGACAAGTAAATGTTTATTAATATAATTTAAAAAACTACTTTATGATAAAGGTTATCTTATTGTTAAAAGAGGAAAGATAAAATAGAAAACTTAATTGGGTACTTCACCTGTACAGTTTACATTATCTGGGTAGTCACATTGGTTGGTGTTTGGATTGAAGTGCAAGTTGTTTGGACAAATTTTTACAAATGTTTGCCAATCTCTGCACTGAACAAAAGCACCACAATGATGTGGGTGTGGATAAATACCATCTTCTTTAAATATACATTCACCTATAAATAATAAATTAAATATACATTCTCATATAAATAAAAAAAATAAACAGAAAAGGAAAGAAAGAAAATTATTTCAAGAATGATATTTAAATCTAATTCATGCAACTAACTGTAATTTTCAGAAGTATATTATCATTTCAAGAGTTTCTTGCATTTGTTGTTTCCTTTGTTTTGGCAGATACACTCTTCAGCCTTTCTCAAATATGCAGTCCATAGGAAATGAGCTGGGTAGGCTCTTTTTAAGGTGGTGGTGGTGGTGGTGAAGGAATTATTTATGATAAAAACAGAAACTGTAGAAATTGTAGAATGGACCAGCAGGATCATGGTAACCTCAAAAGCAAGACAAAGAATGGGATTAGTAGTCTGAGCAACTCTTGGAATATTAATGATTCATCTCAAAGGTATCTTCCATATTAAATCTGAACCTGAAAAAGGTTATACAATGAAATGATTGTAATTTCATAACAACATTGATCAATTTATTTTTTTACAGCTCATCAACCCATTTCAGGTTATTTAAAGCCAGAAAATATTTTTAGATTGTATGAATCTTTTGGAAATAATAATGATTTACTGATACAAGTGCTACTAATTAACCCATAGCTGAGGGGTTGATTAATACCTTTCTCACTTATGCTCAAATACCCTTGGTATGAATCCATATCTTCTTCCTCCAGCTATGGGTTAAATAACAGTCCAGACTTAGTTTGAAACCAGTCTATTGTGGAAAGAGACAACAGCCTACTGTGAGAAACCTTCTGTCCAGTCAGTCATGAATTGAAAAAGATATGAGCAGTCAAGCATATGTCATTCATGGCGCAAAACTTTTTTTGTCAAATAAAAACCTATTATTTCAGCTGCAGTCATTGAGAAATGTGGTTAGTAAAGAAAATCTGGTCAGATATAAATATATTGTTACTTACTCTGCACTGATAATTGGCTTGCAGAAGGATTGCTTTCAACTGTCACCTGGAAGTAATCTGTGAAAGAATGTTAATATAAATTAGTTGTACAAAAATTTTCTAACAAAACAATAACAGTTCTCAGAACTTAAATAAAAAGAAAATATAAATAAAAAGGAAAAGGCTATTTTGCTAGTCTCAGTAAAATAGACAAATATGCTTCTAAACTTATTTTACCAGTCTCAGTAAAATAGACCCCCCAGACTGTTTTGTTGGTAAATATTTTTTATTATTATGAAAGCAGGTAATAAGAACACACAGATTTAACACAGAAGTTTATTTATATTCACCATTAATTGTTAAGACAATTTAAAACCTTTTCCACAATCAATTGTTAAAACACAAGTTAAAATCATTTATTCATCATCAATTATAAAAAGAAATAGAAAAGTCTTTGAATATTTTTGTATTTTATGATGACTAAGCTCTGTCCATCTTCACTGAATCTTAGTTTCAGCTGGTCTGGTCAGTCAACCTTGAATGTAAATTGGTTTGTTCATTAACGTTGGGATTTACTTATGCGTCTTCTGCCTCCATGCACACAGGAGTACCGCAGCTCATAGTACTTGATGTTAGGATTGAACTGGCAATTTGGCATTCTCTTCTGAGCTGGAGCAATTATTCTGCTATCTCTTTGCCACAATTGCACATAGTGGTTTGGTAACTTTTCAGTTTTTCTTCTAGTTCAGCAAAAGACCTGAAAGTATCTCCAACACTGGGTTCCATGGCTATATTGAATGAATTACTGAATGAATATTGTTTTATGAAATATATATATATATATATATATATATATATATATATATACATATATATATTCTTAGTTCTAAAACACTATATTTACTGGCAAAATAGCCTTGGTGTCTATTTTACCAGGAATGGAAAAATAGCCTATTTAAATAAAAAAGTATCTTTTATGAAATGGTACATTCAATGCGTTTGTTATTGAGTGCAAGAAGTCAGACTGTAATTTTGACTTAAACAATGAAGAAAAGAGAGAAAGTAATTTATTGAGGAGAAAATATATGGAAAGTGTATTAATTACTGAGTCTTCTATGGTAAATTGTAAAACTTGGGCCGTCATGCTTGCAAAAAAAATGGAGTGTTAAAAGTACATTTTTTCTCCTTTGACACCACTATTATTTTAACTACCTTCACTCCTCAGCAGTGTTTATTGTTCTTGATATGTTCCGGAAAGGGATATATTTATTTGTTCGAAGTAGCAAAGTGGTTGTTGACTACTGTAACCCGGTAGGACAATCTAGCAGGTAACCGTAATGGACTGGTCCTCATCATAGTGGTAGGCAATAGGCGAAGACAATAGACATAGTCCCTGTACCTCCACATCAGTCTGTATTTATGGCTGACACCAGCCAATCATATTACTGTGAAGGGGAACCCAGGTGTATGCATATTCATTACATCAGTTCTAAAAAGCGATGATTAGAATTGTAATGACACCTAAACATATGATGAAAGTGAGTTTTGTTTTTACTTTTGAGAATTTAGCTACAGAGGAAGTGTTGGATTAGCAAAGTCAAATTACTGTTTTTTGTCTGCTAACCAGACACTTCCTCTGTAGCTAAATGGTTTATGCTTTTCTATTTTGGTAGCAATACATTAGTGCTGCAACTAAAAAAATTCAGTTTTGAGGTAAAAAAAAGATGAGATATTCAACTCACTTTCCACAGAAGGCACCACTGAAGAAATCTGTTGATCTTTTATTTTGGCCAAGAATTGGTTGCTCAGTATGTTGTCATCTTAAATGAATGAAAAAAGATTCCAATAGCAGTTTTGTTAAAATAAAAACATATATTTAGTGCTATTTTTCTAGAAAAAACTTTATAAACATACAAAACAACATATGTAAGGTCAGTATAAAGTGCTACACTCTATGAGTGATTGAGTGATTTGTTTTTTATGGCTTATCAAACTTTTGCAGGTTATTTAATGCTAGAATATATTTTTAGATTTTAAGAATTTTTGGAGCTAATAGTGATTTACTGATACAAGTTGTGATGGCTGCTTAGTGATGAAAGCGGCAGTCAGTCAGTCTGCTTCTAGAAGTCAAACTGTGCATTTTTTTGTTTTCATTTTTAACCAGAGCCCCTTGGCCCTAACTAAAACTAAATCTGCCTCTCCAGCCATGTGGTGCAGGTTACAACCCCATGGCACCATTTTCCTATGGAAATATTTCTTCACCAGATATAGAAAATTTCTCCGACTCACAGGCCTCAATTTAGGAAAATTTAAGGGCTTGCCATTTCCCGTTTGTAGAATATGTCCACACTAGCAGATGAATCCAGTTCACTCAAATCTGGAATCATAAATAAGGCTTCTCCAGAAACACAGAAGAATCTCTGAAGACCCAATTCTCTCTGGGAATTATTGTATGTAAAACTCCTTTTTTTGTCCTCTTTTCAATCTGCTTGTTGTTGTATACATGTGATAATTTCTGTGTGTGGGACACTTGTAAATATGTATATATAATTTTGTATATAACTTAGTATTAGAAACTCTCTCTGAGAACAAAGTATGTTTGTCATTCTTTTCCTTTCAGCTATTCTGTTCCACCTGTGAAACACAGTATTATTATATCATGGGTATACTAATGTCAGTAATGGGGGAAATAGAAATGGAGTAATCAACCTTTCCTCCATAATGCACCCATTATCTGAGTCAACCCAATGTGACTTGATATTATTAACCTCCATTATTTGGGGACTTAATTGGCATGTGATATAATTTGGTTTTTGGGAATATTTTGGCTTTCCAAATTTTGGATTCAATTCAAAATAAACAAATCAACTTTCAGCTTTTATTTCTAAAATCTGCAAAATTTTACTCACCTTTGCAATTAACGTTTTTAGGATCTTCACACATTTTTGACTTTGGGGAAAAGTATTTTCCACCTGGACAAATTCCAAGGTGCATTTGTTGCTGGAAACACAGGATGAACATGGAACATTGGGCAGGGTGAGGGTACTGGCCATCTTGTTCACCTTTACAGCTTTCTGTTTAATAGATTGGTAAAAAAATAGAAATCATAAACTTCTGTTTTCTGAATAAGAAAGAAACACTATTACATGCCATATTAGGTGTACCTTTTAAATTCTGTCGAAATCTGCTCTAAAAATCATCCAGTGTCTTATACTTTGGAGGCTGAATCAATTGTAGACTATGGAAGGTTAAAACAATGGCTTTGAATTAATCCATAATGTTCACTGTACATGAATTCTAAAAATTAAAATCAAAATCTAGTATTAATTATAGGTTTCTATCTATAACATATTAAGTTGCACCATTCCATTAAAAGTTTTCTAAAATAAATAATTGAACTATATATATAGTATACCGTGTAATGTTGGTTTCTGAGATATCACAGTTGAATCTTTCTTAGAACCAGTATCAGCTGAAATGGACAACAGAAACATTTTATTAAATTTTACAAGACAAATCATTAACTTAATAATTAAGATATACTGGAAAATTTCAATTGACAATCATTAATTTTTCATGGTTACTGCAAGTCAGTAGAAATAATTTTTTTGCATCAACAGATAAATTATGCCAATTATATTTATTAGTATGTATTTTGTGTTGATGGATTAGGTTCTACCTTTTGACATTGAAGGTGTAATAAACTAATTATCCACAGTTCATGTTAGTTCTTGTCAAGTTTCCAACGTTTCAACTCATTTCAGACAATAAGAAAGAAAACAAAACAGAAAGAAATTAAATGAAATTCAAATCAAATACGACATTGTTTTGAATTTTGAGTTGTCTCAAGCTTCGTAACTTAATATATTATATTGGATTTTAAGAGATTTTTTAAATTGGTTGTTACATTTTTCGTCTATAATGGCAGTTCTATGAGTGACAAGAAAACGTGGTAATGTTTTAAAAATGGCTGAAATCTTTATTTATATGTGGAAATGTTTCTTTCCTTTAATTCAGAATTAGCTTAAGGCTATTATCTTACAAATAAAATCAAAATTTAAGATTTTGAAGATGGAAGCCAGAGTATGAATATTGGTACCATTATTGAAGGTCTGAATAATCTTTTTCCACTCACCATTGCTCAGTTGGGAAGACATAGTGAGGCTGACACAAAATGATTTTAACCTGTTTTCTTTCTAGCTGAATAACTCAAAGGGTTTTTCCCTGATTCTTATGGCTAAATGTCTTAACTGAAAACCTGGTAAAAAGAAACTCAATTAGCTTAGTGTTTTTTTAGATTTTGTGGATGGACAATTACTGCATGATGTTACATGATTTGGACAATTTTTCTGTTACACCTGGTATATATATATATAATATATATATACATATATATATATATATATAATTGTGTGTGTGTGTAGGAGAGGGAGTGAGTGTATTTTGGGAGCAACACTGCATGGTGACTGTCAGTTGCATGCTTCAATGCAATTTTCTGACCAAGACATAACCAAATGGTCTTAAGATTACATTGAAGCCTGAAACTGACAGTCAGTATTTGGCACCCACTCATATCTGTGCATAGGAATCATCATCCTCTCTCCTTATTCTCTTTCTCTCCTTTGATGTCGGTGGCAGAGATGGCCTACTCCTGAAAAGTCTCAAAAGACCAGGGATGTGCAACCAAAGAGCTATGCCTCAGCTGCTGATTGTGGCACAGCATCTGTTCTTGTATGGCAGTATGCTAACGATGTGACCTCTCTAGGGCACTGGTTCTATGAGAGATCAGCAGTCACCCATGCAGCACATCTCTCCTCTCCATGTCACTGATGTTGTCTAAGAGAAAAGTAGAGTCGAATACAGCTTGGCACCAGTGTTGTTGCAGGAGTTTGAACATAACATTGGGCTGTCTTAAGGACTCCAGTTCCTGATTTTTTCTCAGAGTTTACTCCTGAAGCTTTTCCCAAGATTGGACATGGCCACAAGGCAGCAAAGGTTTAAAATCAGAGTTTTCCTTCTTTTTTTGATACTTTATCAAATGCTTTTATGTAATCTATAAAACATGAGTGTGCACCCTTCTGCATTTGTATTGCTCTCTCTGATATTCTAGTAATAAATATTGCATTTCTTGTTACAGTGTCTTTGACAAAGTTAACACTGTTCTTGTCCTAAATATGGCCTAATTCTGCTTTGCTCTCTATTCACCAGAATTCAGATCATTAGTTTAGTTATATAGTTATGTAGATAAGCTGATTGTCCAATATAGCTTGCATTCATTTGCACCTGGTATTTAGCTAATGCTATCAATAAGGACTTGTTGAGGCCCTCTGATATGATTCTGCTGTCATATATTTTGTTTATTACTTCTGTGATAATGTTAAGTTCAAGGCTGTCATCATCTTTATTATGATTCCATCTGGTCTGGCTGCTGTGTTCCTGTTCATCTTATTCAGTGCTGATCAATGAATGCTACCCAACCAGTACAAGCTGAAGGTGGTGAAAATAATGAAAAAAGTTACTTACTTTTCTCAGATGTCCTGCTGTTAAATTCTGTTAGAGACCGGCCTGTTTAAAAATAGAAATGCATAAATTAATACGAAGTTTAACAATTCACTCTAATTTAAGAAAAAAACACATCCAGTCCAAGGAATAGCAAACAGATACAATATTTTTTAATTTTTCTATGTGTTTTGCCAGAGATATTTATGACAAGCACATTAGGAGACTTTACATTTTAAGATTGTTTTAATTCTTTCAGTCTCAGCTGGTCCCAAATCTTTAAAAAATGAAAATTAAATAAATCTATACAATAAAGCTTGCAAAAGGGCCAACACTTTCTTTTTTCTCATCAATGTTGGTGAATGAAAATAACTCCTTTGCATAAATATTTTAATGCCTCCAAATTGAAACTGCTCCTTTTTAATTGTCTATTTTGCTTTCCATCATCATGGCTGATGCTAACCTTCAGGAGAGTATCTCATTTTACCTTCTTGGGCTAATGTTGGTCCAGTGTATCATTTCTCACCATCTTACACATTTATAAATCTACCATTTGTTCATGTATTGAATATTGTTGCCATATGTGGTCTGGTGTTTCTGTTTCTGCTATCTATTTAGAGATTTTTGATAAAATCCAAAGAAGAATTTACAATGTTACTGGTCCTGACCTGGCATCTCACCTTCAGTCACTTTCTCACTGCTGTAACTTAGCCTCCTTGTGTCTTTTCTATAAATACTTTCATTGTAATTGCTCTGACAAACTTTCCTCTATGGTACCTAGACTTTATGAATTTAAGCGCAGTACTAGATTCACAGCAATTTTATATTTGAAATGGCTAGATGTAACCATAAATTCTATGCTGACTGTTTCTTCTCTCGCACTTCTCACTCGTGGAACACTCTTTCAGCTTCTTACTTTCCATTTAACATTGATTTTTAAAAATTTAAATCTAATGTCAAGTTCTATGCTAACAGTTCCTTTTATTGTACTTCTCACTTGCAGAACATTCTTCTGGCTTCCCTGTCAATTTTGTTTTTAATATCAATCATATTTTTCTGTCTATTTAATTCTTGTTCCTTTATTTTTTTGTTCTTTTATCTTCCTTAATACTATTTTTATTTTTTTCTCATATTTTCTTATACTCACTAACTCCTTGAATCTTAGTGGCCACATAGCATTGCTTGGGGTGAAATGATTAAAAAAACACACAACAATGAGTCTAACCAAAAAGATATTTTAATTAAAGGAGAAAACAATTTACAAAGATGAAAATATATAGAAAGTGCTTTATTTGCTAGATCAGCCACTGTAAATTTACATCCAGGTTCATACAACATCACCTCCTTCTTTGCAGATCATCTATTATCACAATGTGAGATATTTAATGATATTTAAAAACAAAAAGGAAAAGGAACTAAAAGAAACCAGCTAGACAATATACCTAAAACACATATTTAAAAAGAAATAAATTAAATCATAATTTAAAATTTCAGCATCCCCTATCTCTCATGTGCATATGGAGTTGAATCAATGTAAACATCATTTTAGTCTGATGAAATCCTGAGGGACGAAATGTGTCACATGAATTTTTTTCCACTTTGTCACAGATTTTTCTAAAATTAATATCCTTAAGAAAGACATAAATCCATCTATTCTCTACATAACTAAACGATAAATAGCAAAGCAAACTGGACTTTTAAGCCTTAGTTGGCAACCAGTCTAGAAGAAGTACAATTCTGAATTCAAAATCATGTAGAAGGCAACTTGGAAACCACTTGGGGCCATATTAGTGGAGTACTAATTTTTAAATATCTCTCTATATTTCTGAGATGAGATATTGTAATTATTTACACTATTTACATGGTTTGGACTGTTATCCTCATCTTTGTTACCATATTAACAAGGACACATGGCCCAGTGGATAAAAGCATTGGTTGAAGTAATCCAGAGACAGGACCAAAAGAGTTGTGAGTTCAATACCTGGCTAAAGCAGAGGTGGACAAAAACTTGGAGAGTTGAGTTAAAGAAAAATAACTGATACTGAGATATCCAGAAGAAGCATGGCATGTGGAACTAGAACAATTTACCCCTGTGAATGAAATAAAGGGTTCAGTTGGAAATTCAGTTCAGTTATGGGTGATGTGTGATACATGCTTAGGCAATCATTTATCATTCGATACATAACTGATGAGACAGATTTTTTCCCACAAAAATTACCATTTCTTTCTGCGGTAGAACAGTTACCATCCAAGGCTATAGAACTTGGTCTGTTCTACTATTTACTCATAGCTGGGGGGGAGGAGAAGAGGATTCATACCTTTTCTTGCGGATGTTAGCATGAAAGTGAATGTAATGGATTTGACTGGAATTTGAACTCTGCTCTCCGATTCCTCAATCCAAGCTGCAATCCATTACTCCACCATGCCTCCTTTTCATGATGATAAAACAATTTTGGAAGATGATCAGGAATTAAAACCTTTTTGAATCAGCCTTACCATTACAGTTAACAGTGGTTGCCGCTTCACACATTCTCAATTCTTGTGAAAACAGCTGGCTTTGAGGACATCTTCCTATATACAAATGTTGATTGAAACACAGGATGAACTGGTCGCACAGGGTGGGATGAGGGTATTCACCATCTTCTGTTCCTTCACAGTTTCCTTAAAAAAAATGGAAATATGTTTCATGAGGAATCAATATTAAAAACAATCAATGATGGATAATATTAATGGTTTTATATATATATATATATATATATATATATATATATATATATATATATTGACAAGGCTAGAATATGTAAAGCTTGGGATGACCCATGCCCTTTGTGCCTCCATGAAAAATTGCACATTATTAATCTTCTAAATAATAATAATCTATTAAATAATAGACACGAGTTAATGGTTTTTTGTAAGCATCATCAAAAAAAAAAAAAAACATTTATATAACTTGTTTAACAAATAGCCCAATCATCAGATTCATAGTAGGAATAATTAACTACAAACATGCATACAACATAACACCCTTCATAATCCATAGCCCAAATTAGTAGTTTAAATACCTTACATAAAAGATAACCCTTTATGAAGTCGTCAAAAAAACAAACGTTTGAAAGTTTTTTTTTTTTTATATGCACAATTCCCTTTCATAATAAAATAAAATAAATAAATAAATATCCATAGACAAGCAAATTTGATGAAGGTTAATACACCTTCCGTTTGATTTTAGACACCCTCACCTTTCCCCGACTTGACACCTTGAAAGTATCTCTATACCGCTACTTATTATTAACAGCCTACACTCGCCTACCCAATTTAGACAATTCACCCTAGCTGTTACCATGGGGATTTTGATTTCAATTTTTAAAACAAGTAAATTTCAGATATACGTTATTCCAACAAAAATTTCGCTTGAAGATGGAACGGAGCCCATTTTAATTTCAACTCAATTTAATTTAAAGGATTATATTGAAGTTTTCGGCTCTTGTTTTGAAACATGAGACCTCTTATGTAGCGATTTGGAATCATATTTTTAAATAAATAATTATATATATATATATATATATATATATATATATATATATATATATATTATATTATTATATATATGCTGTTAACATGTGTTTTTTATATATAATATATTTATTTATATATATATATATACAATATAATATGTATATTATATATAATATATTTATTTATATATATAATATAATATGTAAGCAAATATATGGATATAGATCTGACAGTATGAAGAAAAATATACGGAAAAAACAAACAAAAATCCTAATATGCAATTATGCTGTTTTAATGTTAATATAATGTCAGTGTTGGACCTTTCAGTCTAGTAGACAATCTTCAGGACATATTCATAAAACATAATTAACATTAGACTATATATAATTCAACATGAAAAGACGATGGACATAAGAGTAAGACTAATCCAAACAGACAACTGATTTTTGTTTGTTTTTTCCGTATATTTTTCTTCATAATATATATATTATATATATTATTATATATTTGGGTATATATATATATATATATATATATATATATATATATATATACAAGTATAAGATTGGTGTAGACAGAATAAATTCCAGTAACCAAAAATACTATTCTTAAGAGTGCTCAATACAGAGTAGAGCAAATATTATTTATTAAAAAATTATAACATAAATATGTTATAACATCACTACAAAAATAGCCATTTTGTGTCAATATGTCTGGTGTCTTATCAAGTGATGACATTGAATGTAGAAATGTGTTGAATGTAGATTTTTCATTTGACACCATCACTTGATAAGACACTAGAAGTGTTGAAACGAAATTGTATTTTTGTAGCAATATTATAACATGTTTATGTTATAATTTTGAATGAATAAAATATAATATATATATATATATATATATATATATATATATATATATATATATTCAACATGAAGCAAAAAGACTCAAATGATTACCATACACCTTTTTTTTTCTTTTCCAGAAGTATTTTTTGTCTGTTCAAGGAAACTAAGAAAAGAAAAGACGATTTCAAGTGCTGAAATTTTAATGAAGGTTGGACACTTAGCTATTTTTCATTGAGCACTTTGGAAAATATGTTTGCAGATATTAAATGGCACTATGAAATGTGTCATAACCATTATAACAATTTCAATGGAAAGGCATGAGAAGATGAAGTTGTATGGCCGAGAAAGGATTTAACAAAGCAGTCATCATTTTTCACTAGAAAGCTTGAGGAAAATAACAGAAACACTTGTGCTATTTACGAGGCATCAAAACTGATTGAAGAAAGGATGAAACCTTTTAGTGTTAGAGATTTCTTCAAAGAATGCATGTTGAATGTAGTAGATGTTGTTTGTTCAGAAATAAAGAGAATTATTTTCTGCAATCAGCTTATCGGCAAGAAGAATAACAAGGCGAATTGAAGAATTGGCAGCAAATATCAGAAGTGGTTTGGAGGACATTTTAAAAAATGCCTGGAGTATTATTCCATTGCTACTAATGAAACCACAGATGTAACAAATACATGTCAACTTTCAGTGCTAACACTAAGATTTCATATTATGGAAGAATTTGTACAATTAAGTCCTATGAAGGGCATTAACACTGGAGCAGATAATTTTGAAAGTGTGATGAAATGGATAACATAAATGAAACTTGATTCATCAAAGCCTATTTAAGTAAACAGAGATGAAGAACCACCAGTGATGATTAGAGAGAAAATGAGGTTTGTTGCATTGATCCAATAACACATTGGTATTGAACACAAACTAATCAAACTTCATTGCATAATCCATCAAGATGCATTATGTGCAAAATCATAGAATTTAAGGACACCATGACAGCGATTGAGAAAACAATGAATTTTATACTGTCAAGAGGACTAAATCATCACCAGTTTTAAGAATTTCTAAAACAAATTGAAGCAGAGTATGGTGACCTTGCATATTTTTCAAATGTTCAATGACTTAGACGTGGAACAAGTATATGCATTGAGAGAAGAGATTGCTATGTTTTTGGAGAGCAAAGGTCAAGATTATTCTTACTTTCAGGATCCAGAGTGGATTACCATGTAAGGATGCAAAAAGCAACCATTTCCTTTTGGTGGAGATGAAGTCACGTGAGTCATGTAACAGCCACTTAGTGATACCATTCCATAGAGTGACGAAAGTGTCAGTTTTTCCATTAGTTTACATGAGCAAAATGAAGCAGTTGTTTGCTTGGCCCAAGCCTCTTGGCCCAAGCTGAGGCTAAACCTGCCTTTCCCAGCAGCTTACAAGTCCATAGCACTGTTTTCCTTTGGGAATATATCTTCCTCAGATATAGAAAGAAGCTATCTCTAGTTAGCAGTTCTCAATTTGGAAAAAACCAAGACATGCCATTTCCTGTTTGTGGAATATGTCCTTGCTTGGAACATTGTAATGAATCTAGATCTGGAGTCTTAAACATAGCTACCTCAGAAACACAGAAGAATTTCCATATTATATGTAAGAACCTCTTTACATTCTCCTTTCACTCTGTTTGCTGTGTAGATATGTTATACATGTGCAAATATAGTTTTGTGTATGTCTTAGTGGTATAAAAGTCTCTCTAAGAACAAAGCATGTTTGTTATTCCATTTCTTTTCAGCCATTCCATTTCATCCGTGAAATATGGTGTTATTATATCATGGAAATAATAATGCCCATAATGGGGGAAATACAAATAGGAGAATAAATGTTTCTTCCATAGCTCTTCCATTATAGTCAATTTAGCATTTTTCATGGACATAATGACCCACATGAACACTTTGAATCTTGAGTTTCAAGGAAAGGACAAGCTTATATTTGAGATGTTTAGTCAAATTACTGCTTTTGAAAGAAAACTTCAACTGTGGGAATCACAATTTCAGAAAGGAAACTACACTCATTTTCTAAATCTCCAAAATCACAAAAGAGATATAATACCAGGCATTTTTGTGAGCTCTATTCAGGATTTGAGAAGCGAATTTACCTTCCATTTCAGTAACTTCCATTTCACTAACTTCTGGTAATGGGCAAATCAATTTAAATTTAAATTATTTGGTATCCCTTACGAATTAATGTGGAGCAAGTGGCAGTAAAATGTGGCAGTTGGAGATAATTGATTTACAATGTGGTGAATTTTTTAAATAAAAATTTCATTTTGAATGCTCTACTGACTTCTACAAGAAATATGTTTTGCCAAGCATAAAATGTAAAAGTCTATTGAATAATGCAAAAATGATGGTCTCTTTATTTGGACGTACATATGCTTGTAAACAACTTTTTTTGAAAATATACTGGTTGGCTGATGACCACCTGGATGATGTATTGCTTCTGTCATTGACAAATATTTCACCTTATGTGGAGAAGTTATTGAACAATAAGAAAAAATTAAATGTCTCATTTAAATAATTTGCGATTTCTAACTGTATTTCATTTGTAGTAAAATAAGGAACCTTATTTAAATAATATAATATTAATTTCATTGTTTTTTTCTTTTAAGCTTCTGACAAAAAGTTGCCTTCTGGATGGAGGGGTCTGAAGTTGAGATAATTTATTATAGTACATTTTATATCATGGCCCTCCTCTGAGATACTGAATAGCTGTCTGGCTTGCTCTCTCCAAGAGTTTGTCGACCACGTCCTAAAGGATGTGTAGGAGGATGCTACATATATTTAACTTTGGCTAGGAAAGGTGTGATTAAGGAAAGCAAGGATGCTGAAGGTTACTATCCAATGTGGCATGCACAATGCAATTTATATTTGACGTAAAATAGCACATAATATAAGATACAAAATGATTCAAAACATAACAACTGAATTTATTAGTGTTTGGTGTACATACATATAAGCTGAAGATTTGATAGAGTTATGTCTCTTAGATTTGGAAATATTTGTACCTGAGCTCATAAAGATGAAGTAATTATTAAACTGTAGTTTAGAAGAATAAAGTTCATTTAGCATGTAAGGAATTGTTCTTGAGGTTACATTTTGGCAGCAAGGATTGAGATGCAAGAGAGACTGAAGAGAACATGATGGAGCTTACACGTGTTTTATTTATATATGTCTGTGTATCACGTGGTAGGCTCAGAAGCTTGTGCATGGGAAAATTATTCCTTGTGTGCCGGCGATTTGATTGGTCGGAATTGATCAGTCAACAAGCTAGTTTTGAGGAGATCAACCAATGAATGCTTGTCACATGAGTTCTATGTACTGTGTGTATGTAATGGTTGTGGTAGTTACCATAGATGAAACATGTCACACAAAACCTTTTTGGATTTTGTCATAATTTTTTCCATTCTTAATATATAAAAATTTATATATCATTTCCTCATATATATATATATATATATATATATATATATATATATATATATATAAGGTTGACTCTAAAGTCAACAACAGATGGCGACACTTAAATTTACATACGTTCTATCTCTGATATTGAGCATTTTTACCAATAAATATTGCAAACATTAAAACTATATTTTATCAAACACACATGTGAGTGTATGTGCACACACGCACTCACGCACACACCAAACTACAGAACATATCAATTCGGCATTTAATCTCTTTCAAAGTAGTTGCCTTCTGAAGCCATGCACTTTATCCAGCATTCTTTCTATTGATGGAAGCATTCCTGGAACTCTTTTTTTGGGATAGCATGCAGCTGCCATGGTATTCTCTTGGATGTCCTCAAAGTCTTGAAATCTTGTTCCTTTCAAGTGGAATTTGATTTTTGTAAAGAGTAAAAAGTCAATGGGTGTGAGATCTGAGGAATATAGTGGTTGTAGGACGTGAGGAAGGTTGTGCTTCACCAAAAACTGCTTCAAAAACCATGATTACTGAGGGAATCTCTGTGATGTAGTGAGATTACAATACTCTATACACCTTCCTTCTGAACACTGTTATAAACAATGGAAGTGTGCAACAACATTATAACTTAGTGTGCATGCACAACAGAGTTCAAGGTGCCAAGCGACTTCACTCTGTGTACTTTAGCTCCATTATTATATAAATAGTCCTGATCAGTCCACACAAACACACACACACACACACACATAACACACACATATCATAATTCTGCTTTCTCCAGTGAAATGAAAAATGTTCTCAATTTTGAATCTTTTCATTTGTACCCTCTTACTTTAAATAATGACCTACATTCATAGTTATGATTGTTATTGAAATATTTTGTTAATTTTTTTAAGTTCAAACATTTAGTAGAATTTCCATAGGTATTTAACAGGTGTGGCACTCGCAAGGAGCTTATTACAGGTGTGGAACTTGTGAGAAACTTATTACAGGTGTGTAACTCAAAAGGAGCATATTACAGGACTGGAACTTGCAAGGAGCTTATTGAATGATTAACTTAAGAAGTAGGATTCATCAGATAATTCAAATGGGAAAACTGAAATTTTCATGGGTACTGTTAATAGAAATGAATTTACAATAATTTTTATACCTACCAAGTAATTTTTATACCTACCAAGTAGCGATGGCTGTTTGCGTGAAGCAGTGTTGTCTTGAATGCTTGGAGATGATATGTTTCTAAAATTATTTATTCCTCGATCTTTTGCTGAAACCAAAATATTGCAAAATAATCATAAGGTGAAAAGAATGAGAGCGCAATATTCAAATTATTGAAGAGCTATTCTGAAAGGCAATGCTCAAGTTTTATTTGTTGAATTACACAAATAGGCCACAAGGAACATAGATATTAAACATAAACTCATTAACTTTTAAATGAAACTCATTATAGGTTTTGCAAGACATGTATGACAAAATGTTTTAAATTTATCATCAATACTAATTTTTATAATTAATTTTCATGCTTATTTGTAAATTTAATTTCTGCTTATATTTTCCCTTTACATGCCTTTTCAGAAAATGGATGATCATGACTCATGTTGGAAAGTATTATCATTTCATGCCTTCTAGTACATTTGTTCCAGAAACAATATTTGATAAAGAAAGAAAGAAATCAAATTGAAGTTATGAACAGTTCAATACAATCTTCAGTTTGTGTCTCTGAATACATGCCTTGTGTCTATTGGAGTAAAAGGAAATGTGTGTTGCCGCTCCAAAAGTCAAAGTGAAAAGAGGAAGAGTTTTTCAAATATTGTGCCATTTATGATTATTATCAGGGGGGTGTTAATCGAACTTTCACCACAATATGTTGTTTTTTGTTGCTCTAAACCAGGGATCGCCAAACTTTTTCGACCAGAGATGCCCTTTTGTTAATTAATAGTGTAGCAGACTATTATTTTTTAAAGAATTGTATTTTCCTCTAACATCCTCATTTTGACCTTTGAGGTCAGATACAGAAAAACAGAGGAAGTTGTTTTTGATTGGTTAAAAAATAGCAACGGAATGTTAGTGTTAGAAAGTGTTTTCAGGGAATTAAGTTTTACTCGTCATACACAGTAGACATGGTTATTTCATATGTCGGGGAACTTGCTCCCCAGTTAGGGTGATAGAATGACCCCACTGGCTAGTCAAAAATGTAAACATTGGCATGTTTAATAAAATAGATACATTTAAAATCCCTTTTGTTGAAGTTCTTATTTATTGCTGAACTAAAAAACAACCAGTGATCAGCAATCAGGAGAAGACAAAGCAAGAGAAGATACAACATTATGGAATTGACCTCATCAACCAAAAGACCTTCCCAGAATGAGGTGGGTATACAACACTTTTGTTTCTTTTCCTTACCCAGCAACCCCCACTTAAAATATCTTTGAACCTTAAAACTTGCGCGGATGTTGGCAATTAAAATGTTAACTAAAATGTATGAAAACTTAAGAAATTTGGATCAGGTTCAAAATTTCCCCCCCAGTGTCATCAGGTTCAGAATTTTCTCATAAAAATATATAGAAAATATATTAAACAACTCCAACGAATCAAGCAAACAATATATTATGTACACCAAGCCTAAATAAAATCAATGCTACTGAACATAACTGCTACTAAAATTCCAACTGCAAAACTGTAGTAATTAAATTAAATAAACTAATATTGCATCATACTTGATGCAATCATACCAATCAGGCCAAATGACCTTCATAATAATTTTTTTTAAAGCCATTCACCCCAGTCAATATGGGAGTTCTACTAACTGGAAAGGGGTTACAGAGGATTAAGGACAAGAGTAAAGAGGTGTGTTTGAGGAAAGGATACAGAGAATGACAGGGAAAAAACTCAAGGTATCAGATGACATTACACTTGAATATATGAAGATTATAGTCATCAGGGAAGCAAGTAAGGGGAAGGGAGTTCCAAAGATGGGAAGTACAAGAGAAGAAGCTGTTGAAGAGACAGTTACATTTAACTGTTTCAACAGTGAAAGGGTGGGGCCGAGATGCCAGCCTGGTATCTCACTTAAATTCATGCAGTCTGGGAACCAGCAAAAGTAGCTTGTCGGCACAGTTATTGTGAAAATACTTGTAGAAGAGACAGAGGGAAGCCATGGCATGTCTGTGAGAAAGTGACTGTAGACTAGAACCTCTGGATTTTGTCAAGGACCTTGAGACCTACAGTGAGGGCACCAGACCATATATGACAGCAAACTCTAGAGTTAAAGGTTCAAAAAAGGGGATTGTTATCTGAAAATCAACTTGGAACAATTAAAAAAAGAGCAAGCAATGTTCAATGCAGCATTAAATGAGTTTCATCAAAATAAGTTAAAAGCTACTTGGATAGATGTAACTTTTGATTCTGTTGACCATTGAGCTCAGCACGTTTTTTTCATCTGCACTGAAGAATACAAAATACATGAACACTAACTAAAATTTAGCTCAGTGTCAATCACACACTGACCCTATTTGACCCATTGACTATCATCAACCCCCTGGAAAGCCTTACCTGACCCTACTTGCTCAGACCCCATTTGATGACCCCTGCTCTAAACAAATTTTAGCCCTTCACAATCTATTTGTGTATGTATTCTCTCATCCCTTCATTCAAGCTTGTTAAATAGGTTAGTCATTGTTTTGTCTTGCTAATCTTGCTTTCAATATGTCCTGTAAGTAATAAATTCTCCAGTCCATCTTTTCTCATTGTGTGTTCCAGAAATTTCAACTGTTTCCAATTGCTACCAGCAGTTTACTCTAAGTTTCTATTCTCCTTAAAATATCCTTATTATTCATATATTCTGTCCATGGTAGATCTACGCTATCTTCTAACAAATTATCCAAAAATTACCTATAAATCTTTCTTCAACAATATAAATATGAATGTATATATATGTAGGTAAAAAAATCTGTGGGAAAGTAATTCAAGTAGATCCTATTAATATAAAATATTAAAACTAATCCACAAAAGAGAGCTCAATATAATTTTTAATATAGAGCATATAACTGAATTACAATTAATGAGATCCAAACAATTTACCTCATACAGATGATCATTTCATCCATGGGAATGTGGTTTTTTTCCTGGACTTGTCAATGCAAATACATTTAGTAAGATTAATTTTAGTAAATGTATTTGCATTGATAAGTCCAGGGAAAAACTACTTTCTCATGGACAAAAGGAACATCTGTATGAGGTAAATTGTTTGGATCTCATTAATTGTTATTCTCTCTCTCTCTTTCTCTCTCTCTCTCTCTCTCTCTCTCACATATATATATATTCAGAAATATATTGTTAAATATAACAAACAATGAATGTCTATTATGTTTTATCATGAGCCATTCCAAGCATCATATAATGGCTTTAGTTTCAAGAGAAAATAAAGACAAAGACTTTCCAACATTTGGATATTCCTTTATTATATTGGCCATTGATCTGAGCTTTCGGCTCATGTGAGCCATCATCAGAGTGGTTATATGGACATTACAATGGAGATGTTTACTGTAAAAGATGACATCCTGTTTTGTATGCATAGCAGTTTGCGATATAATGCTAACAGTTGTGGAATAGCAGATGCAAGTTGTAAATTCATATTGTTGTTCTATAATGCTTGGAACGGCTCATGATAAAATATAAAAGACATTCATTGTCTTTTATATTTAACAATGTATGTCTGAATAATGATTTACTGCTCTCATACACTAATATATATATATATATATATATATATATATATATATATATATATATATATTACCATTATTCTTTAAAGAATCCTTTTTCAACCAACACTTCTTCAGAAGAATACTTTGGTATCTTCTTAAATAAACAAAATGAAACAAATTCATGCAGCAAAACCCAAGTATATACAGGAGGGTTAAATGAGGAATCATGACTAAAATTGAAATTTATTACTAAAACAAGGATAAAAGAAGGAATATGGCAATAAACAAAAGTATATAGGTTCCTAGTGAGTATAAAATAGAAAAGTCCTCCTCGTAGAAACAGAGAACAAACAAAATTCTCTTTCAGTCTACACAGTCAATGTGACTTTATATACATTGCCTCCAAGTTTTGCAAATGTTTGGCTGACCATGCTCTGTATAAATGATGTATCTGTGTACTTGAGAGTACATCGTGGGTTATCTATCAAATGTTGCCTCATAGCTGACTTAGAAACCATTTGAGTCAGGTGTGTGCTGCTGTTTGCGACACCTCATCTAATATTGGCAGGTAGGTGTCTCAAGTCATTGATTGGTTTGCCCTACATAGTCAGCTTCACACTGACATTTAAATTTATAAACAAAACTACTTTGAAGGTAGGACAAACTATCTTTAGCAAACAAAGAGAGCATGGGAACAGTATCAAAGGCAACATGCAACTTAACAGCAGGAAAACATGATGTTACAGATGTCGACACCTTATTGGTAAGTGCCTGGCTACTTCTATCTAACCATGGTAGTTTCAAATACACCAGACACAAACAAGGACCAAAAACTACTGGAGCCCTAAAACTTTTAGCCCTTATGTTTCATCATGCATTTAACAACATTCTTTGGGTAACCATAGTAACTGAAAATACTATACAAGGAGAACATGTCATCAACACATGATGGGCCAAAGTGGAAATCAGATTTAACTTCCAGGACTTAGGGATGAAAGAATTCTAATTTGTGTACAGACTAATAGATGTAGACTTGAGGAGATAAACACTGATAATGAACGACCCCTCATTCATATGTGCATATATATATATATATATATATATATATATATATATATATATTTTAAACAATAAAAAAAATATTAAAAAATTAAAATCTTCAGACACTGGGTTGTAGGTTAATATTCTTTCGTTTTTTTATTATTATTTCATTTAGATTCCTCGACTAGTTTCGGCCAAAATGGCCATCATCGGGAGAAGAAATATTTCTGCTTGCTGGTAGCACTAAACTACAGAAATGAATGTCTTGATGGAGAAAATGAACTTTTGTCTGTAGTTTTCATTTGTTTTTTTATTTTTTTATCTTTTTAACATGAATCTTTTAACATTCCTTGTGTTGGTCAAACAGCCTCTTTTAAGTTGTTATTTGAGATAAGAGCTGGCTGGATCTATGCTTCTCTGAATTCCCCTGATCAGTTTGACAGTTTTATTGGTTCTGGAGAGGGGATGTGTCTCTGTTAAGTGTTTGTGTGTGTGTTATTTGGTTCTTAGGGGGTGAGTGAGTATGATATGTGTAAGCATGTGTATTGCTGTGGGTGTGTGTTATCATTTGGCTCATTAGGGAATGAGTGAGTATGATGTGTGTAAGTGTGTATATTCGTGTGGGTGTGTATATAAATGTGAGGCCTCAATACCTCCGTACGCATGTCTGTCTTGTGCGGGTGAGAAATGTGGGTAGGTTTTGATTTGTAAAGTTATATATTAGTACTATCTATATTGTTAAATTTATGGTTTAGCCCAGCTGGATAGTGTGTTTTTAGACGTTGTATCCACTTATTTTCATGGAACTCTGGAGGTAAATTATGTTATGACTTCTACAGTTAGAATCGTGGTAGATTTTAAAAGTAGATTTAGTGATTGAGCTAGTGAATGAATTCGTGTGTTTAATATGGTTGCAGCATAAACATCTTTTGTTGTTACATGGTTAAGAAAATCCTGTTGTTTTTGTTCTTAGTTTATTATGGATTACCTTGTCCCCTGAAATGTGGTTACTACCTATGATTTCTTTTAGGTTCTTAGGTCTACGATATGCTAGAAGGCCTTTAAAAATTTTTTTTTTGGTCTGATTTGAGATGTAGTATTTCCCAGCAATGTTTGATTATTTGGGATAGTGGAGGCAGAGTGGGGTTGAAAGTGGTTACTAGAGGAATGCAGCTAGATTTATTTTTAATCTTGTACATTAAGGTGTCTTCTCTAGGTGTGGAAATTACTTTATCTATTTGTTCCCTGATTAGGTGTTGTTTATAGCCACATATTGTGAATTGATGCTCCAGATTTTCAATGTGTTTATTTAATTCTTCATTGTTGGAACATATCCTTCTGAGTATAAGTGCTTGTGAATAGGGAAGGTTCTCTTTGAGGTGTTTAGGGTGGGAAGACTTAAAGTGTAGATAGTTGTGGGTGTCAGTGATTTTAGTGTGTAGTGTCGTTTGTAGTTTCCTGTTTTCATCTATGTAAATGCGGGTGGCTAAAAATGTTACTGATGTTGTGAATTTTTCATAGTCAAACTTAATTGAGTTGTGCACTGTGTTTAGGGTCATAAGGAATTGGGTAAGTTTGTCGTCGCTGCCCGTGTATACAAAGAATATATCATCAATATATCTTGCATAGAATACGCAGTCGCTACCAATGATGGGATAGATATGGGTTTCCTCAAATTTTCCCATGAATATTGTAGCATATGATGGAGCTGCAATGGTGCCCATGGCACAACCTCTTATTTGAAAGTAGTGTGCTCCATTGAAGTTGAAAGTATTCAATGTAAGGACATGCTCCATGAATTTTATGATAACTTCTGTGGGGGGGGGTTGTGTTTTCTTCTTTTAGTAAGTGCTTCCTGAAGGGCGGTTAGCCCTTTGATGTGTTTAATGTTTGAATAGAGTGACCTAACATCCATAGTCACTAGAATAGCATTCTCTGGAACTGTTTGTATGTGATTAATTTTGTTCAGTAGATCTGTTGTGTCTCTGATGTAGGATTTTACTTCCTTAGTTAGCGGTTGTATGTAATGGTCTATGTATTTGGAAATATTTGTCGTGTGGCAGTTGAACGATGAAATGACCAGCCTTCCTGGGTTGTTGCTTTTGTGTATTTTAGGAAGGAGATAGAAGCGAGCAGGTGTAATGTTTGTGGGTGTAAGTGCTGTGCATGTTTCCTTGTCGATTAGATTGTTGTGAAGCATTATGTTTAGTGAGCTAGTTAATTCTTTTTGGTATTCAGGAAGGGGATCTGTAGGTAAGCTTTTATAGGTTTCTTTGTTGGCTAGCTGTTTGTTGGCCTCTTTAATGTATTCTTCGATCCCCCCCACCCTTTGTCAGCCTGTGTTATGATTAGGTCATCTCTATGTGTCAGCGTGTCGAGGGCTATATGTTCCCCTTCAGTAATATTGTCACGTGGCAGCATACGTGCTATTGTTTTCTTTATGTCATTTGCTATGGCTAGTTCAAATGTCTGTATAGTAATGTCTGTGTTTTGTGGGGTGTAGGTAGTATCCTTCTCTTTTAATGTATCAAGTATGGAAGGTGTGTGATCATTGTCCCCGTAGTGGGCTTTTAACCGTATTTTTCTGAAGAAGGATTTTAGGTCCTTTGCCAAGGTGTCTTTATCAAACCTTGGGGGACTAGGGCAAAAGCTTAGTCCTTTATTTAATACCCTGAATGTATTGAGTGAAAATTTATTGTTACTTAAATTTATAACTCGCCCATATGGGTCAAGTATGAATTTGCAAGCTTGTATCATATCTCCTATTAGGGATGCTATACCCCCACCCAGGTGTCCTGGTTGGGGGCTTATTCCGTTTTTTTTTTAAGTTGAGTGTGTTTGTTGTTGACTGTCTACTAGGGGCTAATCTAGGTGGTCTGGGATGTCTTATGGGGTTATGCGTTCTGTAGAAGGGCTGCTGCGTTTTGGTTTGTGTATGTTTGTACGGCACTCTAAGGATGTCCGCGTAAGTTAGTGGGTTGTTTTGTGTGTGTGTTTGTTTTGAGGTTCTAGCTATCGTTGATGGTGATGGTGTTGTTATTGTTGGTTGTGGTGTTGGTGGTTGTCTGTTGGTGTATTTATTTGGTCTGTTTTGGTGTATAGTCTGAGTCTTTATCCCTGAGCTCTCATGTGACTCTTCAGTTATTAAGAGCTACAAAGGATAGGAAATTGTGGATAGCCATGATCACCAATGTCCTGAAGGGAAATGGCACATAAAAGAAGAAGATTTGTTGATGCTCTCTAATATTTTTTAAGAAACCTGTATATAAACTTACCATTGCAATCAACCGTTGCTGCATCTGAACATTTCCTGGAAGTTGCGGAAAAGA